CGTAAGGATTTAATGTATTTTTAAAATCGACACAAATTCGTATTTTATTATTTTTTTTTGGAACTATTACTATCGGAGACGCCCACTCACTTGTTACCACATGCGATATTACCCCTTCCTTTTCTAATCTCACCAGTTCTTCTTCCACTGCAGGTTTTAACGCATAAGGCACTTGGTACGCCCTTTGAAATTTCGGTACACTATTTTCTCTTAGTTCCAAATTTACTTCATGATTTTTTATACATTCTACCTCATTGACCAACCTTTTCACTACACCCGGAAATTTCAACTTAATTTCACTCACTATGTCATTCACTTGATTTTCATTGCTTTTTTTTATACCTTCAATTTTTTTACAATTTATTTCATTACATTCAAATTTTATTTTATGACAATTAAAAATATTTTTCCATTCAGGAAACAATTCATTTAACCACGAACGACCCAAAAGTGACTTTTTTACACAATTTTCTGTTACAATTAACGGTAATTTAATAATTTCATTTTTTGAGGAACACACATTTACAATTAATTGACCAACTACTGTTAAAGATTCCCCATTTACTGATGACAGATTAAATTTTTCTTTTTTTAATTTAGTCTTTCCAAAATATCTGTCGAAAATCACTTTTGGTATTACAGTAACTGAAGCACCACTATCGACTTCAAATGTCATTAACTGATCATTTACAATCAAATCAATAATGAGTGGTTCATTTACTTTTAAACCTTCAATACTATTTATACATTGTAAATTATTAACAGTTTCTATTAATTTAACAATTTTTTTCTTATTTCTACACATTACCGATACAAGTCCTTTTAGTTTGCAATTAAAACACTCCCATTGTTTTGCTGGACAGTTACGAGCATCATGAGTTCTTCCACACCGGTAACATTGACTCGTCTCTTTACTTGATCCCTGTTGTGACTGACTGTACGATTGACTACCTCGTTTTGACCCCTCGGCGCTTTGATTGATTGACAGACTACTACTTGGTACTGCACTGGTATTTTTCTTTAACTGATCTGTCATTGACTGTGGTTTATTTTTGTAATTTTTTACGATCCAATTTACTTAAAATTTATTTTTTATATGATTGGACTGATTTTTCACTAATTCTGAGTCCAAAGCTTTTTCACATGCTTTCTGAAAAGTTAGTGATGACTCTCCCAGCAATTTTCTTTGGCAAGCTTCATCCGCTAGACCTACAATTAGTCTGTCGCGAAGTGCATCGTCCAAAAATGTGTCAAATTCACAGTGACTTGCTAACTTTTTTAACGTAGTGATAAATTCTTGTACCGATTCCCCCGGACTTTGACAGCACTGATTAAATTTAAAACGGTCACTCAACACTAAACGCCGTGGCGAATATATCGCGTCCAAATATGTGACTAGTTCTTCAAAAGTCTTTTCTGAGGGATGACACGGTAAACATGCGTTCTTCAATTGACTGTAGGCTTCTGAACCTATAAACGCAAAGAGGTGTTTTTGACGCTGATCGTCTTTCACTTTTAACACTGACAACTGAGCCCTTAAACGATCAAGATAATTTTTAAACGGTTCCTGATCTGGCACATAAGACGAAATTGTGTTCGACATTATGAACTTCGTTTGTACGCTTGCAAGACCACAAAAAAAACTAAACACTTTTCATAAATTAATCACGCACATTATAATCTATAAGATTTCCTTTATACATTTTTAACAAACAAAAAAACGTATAACGCATTTTCTTCGTCGCCAAATATTATGTTTGCACATATTTAGACAGACACGCGGGGAGCAGCGGACGACAAGACAACTTACAGCGGGTACGATTTAATTAAGACTGTTTATTATAATATGAAACGGCTATCGCAGTATCGCGCGGTCGTCGATACCGATTACATAATAGTATAAATATTAATTAGGTAGGTAACATACATATCACCTATATAAATTTATATCATCATAAAATTATCAAATGGAATACATAAGTACAAAGAAATACAATTAAACAGCTTAATTCTTTTATATTATTCTTCCTTAATAATAAAAAAAAAAATATGATAAAGGTACGACATTTTAAGACTACTTCACCAAGGTAAGTAGGAATTTAATTTTATAGGCAATGCATTTGAATGTAGTGGACCTGAATATGTTTAAAATCAAATACTGGCACTTGTTGTGACTGCATCATATATCTTTTGTATATCAATCCCCACTAACAAGTTTAACTGCATCGTTATATAATAGGATTACATGACCTTAGACAATACATATAAAAAGGGTATGTTAGTGAATAAAAATTATTAGTTATTTTTGTTGTATTCAGTCATTGAGTGCAACATAGGTAAATTTATGAAATCAATGGCAGGGAAAAACTATAGTGATAATAATTATTAATTAACAATAGTAGTGTAAAAATATAATTTTGTAATATTTATATATCACTGTGGAAGAATAATATTCGTTTTTAATTTAGATCAAGCGTGTGTAATTAAGACTAAATTTATTAATGAATATATTATAATACTATAAATACTGTGTTTTATGTTTATATAATAGAATCATTGTTTAATACAGCCTTAATTCATTGTATTTTAATTGTAAAATGATTGACGTAATTGTTTACTTAAGTGTTGCTATTCTTGTGGTTTTGTGGTGTTACTTCAAATGGAATAACAGGCATTTTGAAAAATTATCAGCTAGAATGCCGGGACCTCAGTCGTACCCAATCGTTGGGATAGGACATCAATTTTTTGGATCACAAGAACGTAATGAAAATAATATATTGCTATAAAAAATAAAAAATATATTATTAATATTTATTATTCTATATTATTCAGAGGTCATGAGCAAAGTATTTGAGCTTTTGAAAGATTACAATACGCCAGGGCCATTTAGTTTTTGGTTAGGACCATATTTTGCAGTTGTCATCACTAAACCAGAAGACTTACAAGTAATTACATATTTATTGCAATAATGATTATTAATAATTGGTCAAATGTCATTAAAATTAAAAGTTAGTTTTCATGTTATATTTTTATATCACTAAGTGTAAATCAATTCTAATGACAATTTATTTTTTTAATAAATTAAAAAATTTAATAGAAAAATTTTGAATTTTAAAAGGACTTCTTTTTATTATAACGATGTCTGCCCTTTGTAAAAAATATAAAATTGGTTTTTATTCTTTTTGACTTTATATGATTTCCAGTTTTGAATATTAATAAGTTAAAAAAAATTATACTGTATTCATTTTTCAGATTGTCTTAAATAGTTCAAAGGCACTCCAGAAAGGCCGAATGTACGACTTTTTTAAGATCCTTTTAGGTGAAGGTTTGTTTACGGCACCAGGTAAGTGATATACAAAAGTCTAAACGAAACGAATTTGTACAAAAATTGAATAAAACTATTCTCAGTGAATAATAGCATATTTTTTAGAATTCAATATTACAATAATTTAAAACTACGTAAAACAATTACAGTTGATAAATGGCGGAAACATCGTCGCATGATCACGCCCGCATTTAATGCAAATCTTTTGGAACAGTTTTTCCCCGTGTTTAACGAAAAAAATAAAATTTTTATCAGGAATATTACAAAGGAATTAAATAAAACACAAACTTTCGATCTCTGGCACTATATTGAGGCCGTTGCTCTTGATACTATTTGTCGTAAGTACATTACCAACTATCTTTGATGATTTGAGAATCTTTCTATAATTACTGACGGAGAATGTTTTCTAGAAAACGCTATGGGTTACAATATTGACACTCAATCAAATAAGAGTGAATTCGCCGAAGCAATTGTACGGTAATATGAAACATTGGTTTTTTATAAGTCCCTGTAAACGCTTTACTTTCTTAATGGGAGCATACTAAATTATTATCAGTAGGTGAGTTGCGTCCCGCAAAAAAAAGATTCCAAAGGGTCATAGCGTATTTGCGTCCCGGTATACCTTTTTCTATGACCTAATTGCGTCCCAAAATATCGATATAATCGATATAAAAATGTACATTGATGAAACAAATTTAATTTATAATAATAACAATATAAAAATGGTTATAATAAGTTATCAGTTCAATTCAATTGCAATATTAATAATAATAATAATAATATACAAATTCATGTTATACATTTTGTCATAATAAATATAGTATAATATAATAAAAAAAAATAAAAAAATGCATGTTAAACATTTTGTCATAATAAATCATTACAGAATCACACAGAATTTACAATTTATGAACTATCGGTTTTAGTGACTCTATACTATCGATTTTAATGATTTCTGAAGATAATATCGATAATAATAATATGGCTGACTTGCGTCCCCCAAAACGGGACTCAACTTACCGGTCAAATTTACAACCTGAAAAATATATTTTTTTTGGGACGCAAGTAACATCCTTCTCAACATTTAATTTGCATCTTTTATTAATTGTTACATGAAATTAATTTGTTTATATAGAGCAACAGATTTAGGCGCGACGCGAATTTACAAACCATGGTTATATCCGGAAATCGTGTTTTCAATGTATTTGAAACTCACTGGACAGCAAAAAATCTTCGAAACAGTAAAAGAATTCCCATTACAAGTAAGTGTTTTTTACTTATGAATTTCAATGACATTGGTCGCTCATTATTAAACATCGCTATCATGCCCGTTGTGTAGGACTTATTGAGTAATGACGATGAAATAACTACTCTCTTTTTCTAGACTATTAAACAATATATTAAATTGTGTTTATGTTTCGGGAAAGTAGGAATATAGCTATTGTAGAAAGTGCATTGCTGTCGTTAAGTGTATAAATGTGTAATAAAGCGATTTCCGGAGGAAAAAAATCATAGAAAATATACCAAAATAAAAAAAAAAACATGAAAAATAACAATAATTTATTTTTTTATAATTTTTTTTATTGATAATTACAGCTTCGGCTGCATAGGCCATTAGCTTATGAGTTTAATACAATTATATACTCATAAATATATGCTTAAAATAGGAGAGATAAAAAAAAGAACAGCTTATACAAAATTAGTGACTTATTCTATTTAATTATTACATGTTTTTGTCTAATTTTTTATGCCTCGAGGAACGATATGTTTTCTGGTAGGCAGTCGCGACCGATCATCTCGTACAGGTTCATTGGTATGTTATACTTTTTTCGTTCTTCCTCGTTGGATCTGCACTCGGCCAGCAAGTGTTTAATAATAAGGGTAGTTCCGCACGAGGGGAAAACAATTATTTATTAATACTTATTTAATACAATAGGTATACTAGTTTTCATGTATAAATATAAATACGAAGTTCTTCGAAAATATTATATCTATATTTTTTTTTCTGATAATACTTTAAATATTCTGTGAACTAATAATAATGTGAAGCCAAAAAACCAGTCATAAATTATGTATGTAGAGTAATAAAAAGGTAGGATCCGTATAATGTATAGTTCGTTAAATCGTAGCTCCTGTATTCGATAGTATTATACTACATATTATTATGTTTCTACACATTCATTGGTATCAAATTTCTTTAAAAGTAATGTTGACTTTTACCCGGTTTTTTGTTTTTGAATGATTTTGATTTAAAATCATTTAATTTTACTTTACACTATTTTTGCAAAAAAAAAAATTCTGGTAAGCTGTTTTTAATTTACAAATGACACTATTATTCATTCAAAAAATATTATGAGTATAAAACGAAAATACCAAATAATGTGATTTGTTGGTGAATATAATAATTATGTTAAAAATTAATTTAATGTTTGATTTTAACTCAATAATCTATTTAAAACAATTTTTCAGACTGATAAACGTAATACAAGTATTGGAAGGTTCAATTGACTATACACTAGGCCTACGTTCAGGGTTAAGATCTAGCAATAATTTAACAACTTTTTAAGCATTTGATCTTGTCGATTTTACGACAATATAACTAATATATACTCAAATTTTTTTAGCCAAAGAGCAATATAAATATTTTCCATTAATTACTTTTAATGTACAATTTTCTAATTGTCAGCCTAAAATATTCCTTGTTATATCCTGTTTATATAAGATAATTGACATTTTTAGGTGATCAAGGAAAAAAAAGATGAATTTGACCAAAGAAAAAAAGCAATTGACGCTAAATCAGTTGTTACAGACAATGAAGATGGTAAGTAATGTAGGACAATACATTTCAATAATCATTGCTTTCTACATTAATAGATATTTCTACAGTATAACCAAATATAGTAAAATGAATTAAAATTAAAAAATAATAACTTCTAAATATATAGATTATTGTTTAGAAAACCAATCAAAACTGTTTTTGGACATATTGTTAAAACTGAACATAGAAGGAGGAAACTTATCAGAAAACGATATTAGGGATGAGGTTGTAACAACGATGTTCGGGGTAAATATTTGTTTTTTAAAATAATATCTTGTTAATTCTTCTTGTGAAATATATTTCGATTAAAATGTATAAATGTACTTACAGGGTAGTGATACCGGTGCTATCACAGTCTGTTTTTGTCTTTTGATGTTAGCCATACATCAAGATATCCAAGTAAATATATATTACGTAGCTAGCATATGAAAAAACACGTTATATTATTGAAGTTAGTTGTACCACTGTTTTACATAAGAATACGTATGTTAACAGTGTACATTGTTGTTCACTATTGTTAGATACATAAATCAAAAACGTTTTACTTTTAAGTTTTAAATTTTTATGGAATCCTAATCAATGTAGCTACTTAATTATTTTATTGATAAATTTGATTTAAAATTTAGGATCAAGTATACGATGAAATTTACGAAATATTTGGCAAAAGTGATCAAGAAATATCTATTGAAGACACTGTTAGACTTGTGTACTTAGAAAAAGTTTTAAAAGAAACCCTTCGAATGTATCCTGTGGGGCCAGTGCTACTCAGAGAAGTTCAAGAAGATCTAAAAATATGTGAGTGAATTTAAAAATGTCCTACCTGTGTATAAAATACTATTTAATCAAATGTATTTAAGTTTCAAATGATTACGTACTGCCAAAAGGAACAACATGTGTTATAACCCCAATAGGCACACATCGTAATCCTGATTTGTACCCGAATCCTGAAATATTTGATCCTGAAAGATTCAGCCCTGAAAATATCAAAAAACGTCATAAATATAGCTTTATGGCTTTTAGTGGTGGTCCAAGAGGTTGTATAGGTAAAGTTATATTTTGTGAAATAATAATTATGTACAACTTTAATATGTATATTATATTGTAATAGTATCTTATTTCAATTTAAACGGCAGGATCTAAATATGCCATGTTGTCGATGAAAGTACTTGTGTCAACATTCTTGAGACATTTCAGCGTACACACAGATGTCAAATTAACAGAAATTAAGTTAAAATTAGGTTTATTGATGAGAAGTGTTCACGGTTATCCTGTGACAATTCGACCACGAGATAGAAGACCAACACATAATAAGCGAAATGGGACGCAGCGAGGATAATGCTTAATCATTATAGAATGATATGGTGACTCGTATGTTTTGAATATATTTTTGACATATATTAGTCGTAATTTATAACGATACTGTATTGTTACCCAGCTAAATAATGTTAATTTGTAAGCTTAGTTTACATTTTGTTTATCACATCTAAATTAGTGACTTTATACTCGAAAAAAAAAATTTACTTAATAAATAACAATTAAAAAAACCTTGAATGCATTTTATTTTGATTGGTTTTTACAATTGTTTAATTTTGGTTGCCATTTATATACACATGTCGAAATTTTTGAACAAAGTAACACATCTGGCCAATCTTGAACAACTATATTTTTTCCAATTTGTTGTGACTAGTTGTTGAATGATGTTTTTTATGTTTTGGTTTTAATATGCCATTGTATTTTAAAATTGTTTTGGCCAAACTTGTTTATTTTATATTCATTTACATTTTATTTTTTGTAATACCTTTTTTTATGTTATTATTTAATACTTGAACGTTATCGTAACTATAGTCTAAACCAGTTACTATTATAACGTCTAAAACCAGGGCTTAAATTGGTAAAAAATTCTAGAGGGGTCTAATGCCTCCTCATATTTCTTAAGCGTTCTATATATAATTGTATGTATAATGTCTAATATATAAAATCCTTCATCAAATTATGAGTTTTGAATATTTTTGTGTTGGACATCAGTTTTAAAGAAAGGTTTTATGATCATCCCCGCTTTTAATTCAAAACTTTTGGAACAGTGTTTCCCTGTGTTTAACGAAAAATATATAAAGTTCTTATCAGGAACGTAACTAAGGAATTAAAAAAAACACAAAGTTCTATCTCTGGGGATATATAACACCAGCTGCTCTTGACACTATTTGTCATAAGTTCATTACTACCTCTGTTTGATGATTTGAGAATCTTTCTATGATTACTAACGGAGAATTTATTTATAGAAAATGCTATGGATTACAATATTGACACTCAATCAAATAATAAAGAGTGTAAATTCGGCGAAGCAATTGTACGGTAATATGAAACATTGGTTTTTTATAAGTCCCTGTAAACACTTTTCTTTATCAACATTTAAATAGCATCTTTCATTAATTGTTACATGAAATTAATCGCTTAAATTTGTTATATAGAGCATTAGATTTAGGCGCGATGCGAATTTACAAACCTTGGTTATATCCGGAAATCGTGTTTTCAATGTATTCGAAACTCACTGGACAGCAAAAAGTCGTCGAAACAGTCAAAAAATTTCCATTACAAGTATGTATTTTTGACTTAAGAATTTCAATGAACATTTCCAATGACATTGGTCGTTTATTTTTATACATCGCTATCATGCCCGTTGTATAGGACTTATTGAGTAATGACGATGAAATAACTACTCTATTTTTTTAGACTTTTAAACAATATATTAAATTGTGTTTATGTTTCGGGAAAGTATTAATTTAGTTATTGTAGAAAGTTCATTGCAGTCGTAAAGCGTGTAAATGTGAAATAAAGTGAAGAAAATAAATCATAGAAAATAATAAAAAAAAAAAAAACAATGAAAAATAAAAATAGTTTATTTATTAATACTTATTTAATACAATATACTAATTTTTATGTATAAATATAGATACGAAGTTTTTCGAAAATATTATACATCTCGATTTTTATGTCTGATAATAGTTTTAATATTCTGTGATTTAATAATTGTTTTTAGCCAAAAAACAAGTAATAAATTATGTATGTAGAATAATAAAAACGTAGGATCCGTGCAATGTATAAATAGTTCGTGGAATCGTGGCTACTGTATTAATATTCAATAGTATTACACAACATATTATGTTTCTAGACATTCATGGGTGTCAAATTTCTTTAAAATTTTGATTTAAAATCATTTCATTTTATTTTATACTAGTAGATTTGAATTGTTCATATTTTAATTCAAAAATAATATTCTATATTTTTTCTTAAATACTTCCGGTCACCCATTTTTGATTGACAAATAACACTATTATTTATTCAAAAAATATGAATATAAAACGAAAATAATAACTAAAGTGATTTGCTGGTGAATATAATAATTATGTTAAAATGTAATTTTTTTGACTTTGATTTTGACTCGATAATCTATTTAAAACGATTTATCAGATTGATAAATTTAAGATATTAAGTATTGGACGGTTCATTTGATTATACACTAGGACTACGTTCAGGATGAAGATCTAGCAATTATTTAACAACTTTTTAAGCAATTCATTTTATCGATTTTAGGACGATATAACTAATGTGTACGCAAATTTTATTAGACAAAGATCATTATACTTATTTTCCATTAATTTCTTTCAATGCACAATTTTCTTATTGTCAGTCTAACAGATTCCTTGTTACATCCTGTTTCTATTTGGTATTTGACATTTTTAGGTGATCAAGGAAAAAAAAGATGAATTTGACCAGAGAAAAAAAGCAATTGATGATAAAATAGTTGTTACAGGCAATGAAGATGGTGAGTAATGTAGGACAATACATTTTAATAATCATTGCTTGCTACATTTATAGATACTTCAACTAAATATAGTAAAATGAATTAAAATTAAAAAAATAACAACCTCCAAGTAAAATTGATTATTGTTTAGAAAACCAATCAAAACTGTTTTTGGACATATTGTTAAAACTGAACATTGAAGGAGGAAACTTATCAGAAAACGATATTAGGGATGAGGTTGTAACAATGATGTTCGGGGTAAATATTTATTTTTTAAAATAATATCTTGTTTATTCTTCTCGTGAAATGTATTTCGAATAAAATGTATAAATGTACTTACAGGGTAGTGATACCAGTTCTATCACAGTCTGTTTTTGTCTTTTGATATTAGCCATGCATCAAGATATCCAAGTAAATATATATTACGTAGCTAGCATATGCCAAAACACGTTATATTACTGAAGTTGTACAACTGTTTTATATTAAAATACATTATTGTTAACAGTGTACATTGTAAACTATTGTTAAATACACAAATCAAAAATGTCTTTGAAATATAGTTTTACGTTTTAATTTTTAATTTTTATGGAAACCTCATCATTGTAGCCACTTAAGTATTTTGTTGAAAAATTTGATTTCTATTTTAGGATAAAGTATACGATGAAATTTACGAAATATTTGGCAAAAGTGATCAAGAAATATCTATTGAAGACACTGTTAGACTTGTGTACCTGGAAAAAGTGATAAAAGAAACCCTTCGAATGTTTCCTGCTGGGCCATTAGTACTCAGAGAAGTTCAAGAAGATCTAAAAATATGTGAGTAAATTTAAAAATGTCCAACATGTGTATAAAATACTATTTAAACAAATGTATTTAAGTTTCAAATGATTACGTACTGCCAAAAGGAACAACGTGTGTTATATCCCTATTAAGCACACACCACAGTCCTGATTTGTACCCGAATCCTGAAATTTTTGATCCTGAAAGATTCAGCAAAGAAAATATCGATAAACGTCATAAATATAGCTTTATTCCTTTCAGTGGTGGTCCGAGGGGTTGTATCGGTAAAATAATATTTTGTGAAATTAAAATAATATATAACTTCAATATGTTTATTATATTGTAATAGTATCTTATTTCAATTTAAACGACAGGATCTAAATATGCCATGTTGTCGATGAAAGTCCTTGTGTCAACATTCTTGAGACATTTCAGCGTACACACAGATGTCAAATTAACAGACATTAAGTTAAAATTAGGTGTATTGATGAGAAGCGTTCACGGTTATCCTGTTACGATTCGATCACGAGACAGAAGACCAACATATAATAAGCGAAATGAGACTCAGCGAGGATAATGCGCAATTATTATAGAATGATATGGTGACTCGTGTGTTTTGAGTATTGTTGTATATCAGTTGTAATTATTTATAATATTAGTGTATTGTTACCCGGCTAAATAATGTTAATTTGTAAGCATAGTTTACATGTTGTGTATCACATCTAAATTAGCGACTTAAATACTCGATAAAAAAATTGTCTTAATAAATAACAATTACAAATCTTGAATGCATTTTATTTTGTTTGGGTTTTAACATTTTTCAATTTTAGTTGCCATTTTTATGTGCATGTTGACATTTTTAAACAGTGTAACATAATATTTGGCTAATCTTGAACAACTATATTTTTTCCAATTTGTTGTGACTAGTTGTTGAATGATGTTTTCTATGTTTTGGTTATAATATGCCATTGTATTTTAAAATTGTTTTGGCCAAACTTGTTTATTTTATATTTATTTATATTTTATTTTTTGTAATACCTTTTTTAATATTATTATTTAGTACTTGAACGATATCGTAACTAGTCTAAGCCAGTTATTCTTAAAACGTCTAAAACTAGAGCTTAAAGTGGTAAAAAATTCTTGAGGGGACTAATGCCTCCTCATAGTTCTTAAGCGTTCTATATATAATTGTATGTATAATGTCTAATGTATAAAATCCTAATTTTTTGGAGGGGAAGCTTTTTAACCACCGTCAGAGTTAGGGGACTGCAGAGTTATCTTGCATTCCAACCACCTCTACCCCTGTATAAAACATTTGAGTTTTAAATATTTTTGTGTTGGACATCAGTTTTAAATAAGTGTATCTTGTTTATTATTGATTATAATAATACAAAAAATGGTGGTATTAAATTATGTTAATTTGTAAGATTAAACTGTGTATTGAACATTTGAATTAACTCAACTGTTTGGTCCATAATAAAGAATGTTTAACCAAATTAAAACAAACTTAGGTTGTAACTATGATGTTTGGTGTAAATAATTATTATTTTAAATAATATCATGTGTATTCTTCTCATGAAATATGTTTGAAAAAATATTTTTAATTTAATTACAAGGTAGTGATAAAAGTGCTGTAATAATCAGGTTTGTCTTTTGATATTAGCCATACATCAAGATATAAAACCAAGTATTAAATGCCTATCACACAATGAAAATATTTTTTAAGTTGTGTTTGCAATTTTTAAATAATACATTTTCGAAATGTATTTTTACAATAAGCAATTTTTTAACGATAAATATAAATTTTAATTTACATAACTTTGCGTTATGAATTATGATGCACTGGTACATACGGCATAGGTATATTATTCTTTTTAAAACCAAAGTAAAACACGTAGTAACCTGTGACCCTCAACAATTAAACGTAGGTAAATAATTTTGAATTCCACGGTCAAGGGGTTGCAGTTTGTTAAAACAACAATCTAATAATATTAATATTCATGATTTTAAAGACTATAAGTATTTCATTTTTCCATATGATGATGAACAACCTGCAATACCTAAGCTGACAACTTTTCTTAAAAAATGAGTACATTGAAATACCTGTATATTTAATATTATATTTAAGTCGTTACATTGTGAGATTTGTATATATTATTATAAAATGATTCTGCTTTTGAGATTAACTTCGTTTGTATATGATGTATATATGAGCCTACAGTAGAAAATATATACTTTACTTGCAATAATGATGATTAATTATTGGTAAAATACTCAAATGTCATCAAATTAAACAGTTAATTTTCAAAAACTTTATTATATTCATATTATATTTTTCCTCTTTAGTATGATGACGTGTACTAAAGTAAATTTGTAAAAATATAAAAATATTTTTTCTATACTTTCAGAGTTTATATCACTTCAGTTTTGAATATTAATAACAAAAAAAAATATTAATGTATTAATTTTTTAGATAGTCTTAAATAGTCCAAAGACCCTCTTTTAGGCCCAATTGGTAAACTGCCCCTTAGAGAACTTAGTTAACTAGGTAATACAAAGTAAAAGTACCACAGAGCAACACTCACTGCGAATAAGGTAAGTGAATATTTATATATATATATACATACCATACCAAAAAAATACAAGCAGTAGAATAATCATAACCCCGCACCACTATAAACCTATTAATATAATAATTTAATTTTTATAACATTTAAATTTTATCGGCTTGGTCAAAAAGCATGACAATTTAATATAAGACTAGATAATATATTGTTACAATAGCAGTTGAAAAATATCAAAAATACATAGGCAAGATTTTTTTTAGAAGCATTTAAAGTTCAAATTTTGTCAACATTTATCAAGTTGAAAATTTAAAATGATTTTGTAGTTAAAAATGTATAAAATGTTCAATTTTTATAGCTAAGGATTGAAAATTTAAAACAAAGTTCCACTTAAGCAGTTCTTTCCTTTACTAAGAAATCTAAAAAATACTTCAATACAGTTTCTTTTTACAGACATTTTAAGTTCAAATTTGGACAAAATTGTATATTAACACAAATAATAACGGTTATCATTTTGTTGTAATTCGGTTCCAAAACAGCACAATTTTACATACTACGTATATTTAATATTTTTCCAGCATCACTCATAATTTAACAATCATATTAATTCAACTTACCGGCTACTATATTAGTAATAACTAATAAGTAATAAGTAATAACAATATAAAATATCCTAAGCTGACATACCATCTCCGATCAGTAAAGTAACCTAACTCACGAATAAAATATTTAGGCTAAGAAAATGTTTGATTAAAATACGTTTCAGATGAAACATTTTCGGATATCTTATGTACCCCTATATTTATAATATAATATAGCAATTAAAGTATTTTTTTTAATATTAGTAACACAGTGGCATTTTGAATTAATGTATTCCTATAATACATTGATTGAATTTTTAATTGTCAATGTGTGCATAAAATATAGGAGACCATTTAAAGAGCCATCACGTCACCGGTTAATTTGCTCAAAAACATGCCTTACGGGGAAAAATCTGATACCTCGTAGAGTGATCAGAGTTCGATACTTTTTTTAATTTTGGAAATAAAATCACTTTTTACAGCCCTTGGATTTTCAAAATTGTATTTCTAAATATTTAACATTTTTTTTTTCATTTTTGAATATGACTTATTTTCACAAGCTTTCATTATTTTTATTATGCTTGTTTTAAGACCAATACGCCCTTTAAAATATTAAACTCTCTTTCCGGAAGAAGTTGCTAAAATTAGACCACACTACGATGCGTGAGAGTTTTTCCTGTAAAGCGTGTTTTGAGTGAAAAATAATATTTTTCATTATTTTTGGTTGGTGGGGCATATTTTCTTTTACGTTTATGTTGATAAAACAAATACCATTTGAGATAGCAACGTAACTGCATATTGCCTAAATATATTCCGTTTTTAAAGACACACGAGCAGACCCCTCAAAAGTTTCAAATGCTCACGAATAATATTTTTTAATTGCAACAAAATAACTAAAATTGTTATAATAAGTTTAAATGGATGCCGGTCGTAACTATCGGTACTGTTCCTACGCAGCTAAAACCAGTTCGTTAATCACATGTCCAGTAATATCTATTTTTATGAGCTCGGTTGAGATTAAAAAGGTAGCAATAATAGCAATGAACATAAATATTATTTTTTTCCCACCACACCCATATAAATATTAAATTTCGTCCAAATTTGTTGTTAAAATGTCTACAAAAAAAAAACGAGTTTAGTGCTCTGTGGTATGTTTTTAGTACCAACCGTTTTGTCCAGTTCGTTCAGGTTTTTATTTATCTTAAATTATTTGTATTCGTATTATCTTAATCGTTTAGGTACTATGCATAATATACTTTATACTACTAGACCGGAAATGAGCGTATGGAAAGCGTAACAACATAGAGGACGCTCTTTAATTACTCGATTACTCTTACACACGATGGTAGAGGGTAACAACTAACAGGATAAGATAATATTATATACATAATATAGATTTATAGATTATTGTATTTTCTCGTAAAAACAGCCTAAATCACTACGAGATGTAGTTACGTTGCCCTCAGGCTCTTCTTATACACAGTTCTTGTTTAATAATATAAGGTTTATGCTAGATTGCATAAGGCGAGATAATAATATTCTGTATTGGTTTATAATACCTAAAGAGTATTGCGCTATTTATCAGCAATTAAAAATAAAGTATCTTCTCATCTGTACCAGGCGTACACACGCCTATGATGTTCAATATGACGATTAATTATCACAGACCGATGGCATAAAAAAAACTTTATGTTAATTTGCTTATATTTTCCCTAAAATATGACTAACTGCAGATGAATTATTAGAAATAATAATAACTATTGTTTTAACTACTATAAATACATTCATATAAAAATGTAACTTATACTCGCCTACGTCAGGTATATTATATAATAATATAACAATTAATAGTTTGTGCTCGCTATCATAAGTCTTAAGAATCGGTCTCCAAGCTAATCGTATGACCGGTTCAAGAGCTACTGTCGCGGTAGGCCGGTCGCTATCTGGTATGAGGTGGTCGTAGGTGTCGTCAAAAGAACGCGGTCTCGTACAAATTGTTCAATGAATAAAATGGTCATTTTATTGTGCCGAAAAAAATAAAACAGTTTTTCAAAGACTAACCTTGGCGTGATGAGTTGTGGTCCTCGTAGAGTCGGTCCAACGGTACGAGCAAGAGAGAGAGAGAGACGCCATGGCCGGCGACCAGTACTTGTCCAGCGCGACTTGTCTTTCCCGTCCCCTCCTGACACCCTTCGGCGTGGGTGGAGAGTCGACAGTATCACGTTGTCTTAACCTGTGGTAGTGGTTATTAAAGCCGTTGACCGGTCGATGCAGTGCCTAACCTAACCTAACCTAACTTCCATATTAACTTCCGTACTTTCTACAGTTGTGTACCGTGTCATACTCCACCGCCAAACCACCACACGGGGTACACTTGTACCGGTGTCGGTGTCCTGATGCGAGTAAAGCTGCTTGAATTATGTCTTGCTTAATTTTTGATTTAAGGTTTATATTATAATTACATCGTTACATTGATATATATATATATATATATATATATGTGTGTGTGTGTGTATTATATACAATGATTCTGATTTAGCGATTAACATCATTTGTATATGATGTATATAATATGGGGACAGTACTTTCCAAAAAAGGGTAAAAACTTTATCTGTAAGATCTACAAGAAACAAAAAACGTTTTAACGTCTGCATACTCTGTTCATTATGTATATTATGTCTAATTCTATGTAGCTGCGTACAAATGTAGTAAATATTTCAATGATATTATATTATCATACCTATGCGTCGAATCGTAAGTAAAGAACTCGACGATTATAATTTAAGTCACAGTATTAAAATTTTATTTCAGTGTGAGTGGTAGAAGGCTGATGAAAATTTATAAATATAGTTTTATAAATACTTGTCTTTGGTAAGTTTATTAGTTTATATCGTCATAACATTATCATATGAAATACATGAGTACTAAGAAATGCATTTTAAAACCTTAATTTGTTCATATTATTCTTCCTAAACAAAAACAAAAAATGTACAACATTTTAAGACTACTTCACCAAGGTCAGTAGGATTTTAATTATGTAATCATTATGTAATTACAATTCATTTTAATGTAGTGTACCTAAATAAGTTTAAAATCAGGTACTGGCACTTGCTGCGTCCACTTCATAGATTTTATCTGTATATCCCGACTTCATACAACAATTTATTGTATTGTTATATAATAGGATTACATGACTCTAGACAATATTTATATAAAAAGGGTAGTCACCGAATAAAACCAATTAGTTATTTTTGTTGTTTTCTGTCATTGAGTGCAACATAGGTAAATTAATGAAATCAAGAGCTTTTGGAAAACTATAGTGATAATAAGTTTTAATTAACAATAGTGAGAAAATATAATTTTTTAATATGAACATATCACTGTGAAGGGATAATTTTCGTTTTTAATTTAGATCAAACGTATGTAATCAAGACTAAATTAATTGATGAATATAGTATAATACTGCGTTTTATGTTTATATAATAGAATCGTTGTTTAATAAAGCCAGTCATTGTATTTTAACTATAAAATGATTGACATAATTGTGTACCTAAGTGTTGTTATTCTTGTGGTGTTGTGGTGTTACTTCAAATGGAATAACAGGCATTTTGAAAAATTATCTGTTAAAATGCCGGGACCTCCGTCATACCCAATCGTTGGAATAGGACTTCAATTTATTGGATCACAAGAACGTAATAAAAATGATAAATTGCTACAAAAAAATGAATGTACTAAAAACATATAATTTTTGATATTCTTCAGAGGTCATGAGCAAAATCTTTGAGCTTTTGAAACAATACAATAATCCAGGGCCATTTAGTTTTTGGTTAGGACAATATTTTGCAGTTGCCATCACTAAACCAGAAGACGTACAAGTAATTACATTTTTCAGCAATAATGGTAATTAAGTATTGGACAAATGTCATCGAATTAAACAGTTAATTTTCATATTATATTTTTATATCACAACATACAAAATAAATCTACTTAAAATTAATTTTTTTACAGATATAACTATAAAAATTTAATCATATAATACAAAGAAAAATTTCAAGTTTTAAAAATATGTCTTATTAGTATAACGATTTGTACCTAAGTATCTTTGTAAAAAATATACAATTTTGTTTCTATCATTTTTGACTTTATATCATCACCAGTTTTGAATACTAATAACTTAAAAAAGTATTATTGTATTAATTTTTTAGATTGTCTTAAATAGTTCAAAAGCGCTCCAAAAAGGAAGAATGTACGAATTTTTCAAGAACTTCGCAGGTGAAGGTTTGTTTACTGCACCAGGTGAGTTGTTTACACAAGTTTCAATGAAACGCATTTGTACAAAATTTGAACACATTCTCAGTGGATATAAGGAGATTTTTTAGAATTTAAATTAATTTAAAACGATTACAGTTGATAAATGGCGGAAACATCGTCGAATGATCACTCCAGCATTTAATTCAAAACTTATGGAACAGTTTTTCCCTGTTTTTAACGAAAAAAATAAAATTCTTATCAGGAACGTAACTAAGGAATTAAATAAAACACAAACGTTCGATCTTTGGGAATATATTGCACCAGCTGCTCTTGATACTATTTGTCGTAAGTATAATGATTGGAGATCATTTTCTATAATATTTAACGGAGAATGTATTTCTAGAAAACGCTATGGGTTACAATATTGACACTCAATCAAATAATAAAGAGTGTGAATTCGGCGAAGCAATTGTACGGTAATACGAAACACTGATTTGTTATAAGCCCCTAAACTCTTTTCCTCCTAAATATTTAATTTGAATTTTTCATTTCTTACCTACAATTTATCATGTAAATTTGTTTTTAAAGAGCAACAGATTTATGTGCGATGCGAATTTACAAACCATGGTTATATCCGGAGTTCGTGTATTCAATGTATTTGAAATTCACTGGACAGCATAGAGTCTTCGAAACGGTGAAAAAATTTCCGTTACAGGTTTGTTTTTTTGACTTTGATTTCAATGAACATTTTCAATGACATTAGTCGCTCGTCATCAACAGAAGTTAATGTTGACTTTTAACTCAGGTTTTAGATTTTGAATGCTTTACATTTACAATTATTTCATCTTATTTAATATTTGATTGATTTGAATTGTTCATATTATTATTCAGAAATAATTTTCTATAATATTTAGTAAAAAGATATTTAAACAGCCTTTATTATTTTACACATGATTCTATTAATCATTCAATAAATATGAGTATAAAACAAAAATACCAACTATAGTTATTTGTTGGTGAATGTAAGTAAAAATGTAATTTAATGGTTGATCTTAATTCAATGATTTTTTGAAAAAGTTTAATAAGACTGATAAATGCAATAAAATTATTTTACGGTTCAATTGACAATAATCTAAAAATAAGTACTTCAGGTAAATACTTCAGTGATTATTTATCAACTTTTGAACAATTTTTTTGATGATTTAGGGACATTGTTTTATATATACGACAAATTTTATAAGCCACAGAGCATTGTATACTTTTCCCAGGAATTTCTTTCAACATACAATTTTCTAATTTTTAGCCTAACATATTCCTTGTTACAACCTGTTTATGTAAGTGTATTTGACATTTTTAGGTGATCAAGGAAAAGAAAGTTGAATTTGACAAGAGAAGAGAAGCAATTGATGCTAAAATAGACATCACAGGCAACGACGATGGTAAGTAATTTAGGATTGTGAATTTTAATAATCATTGTTTGCTTTATATTTCTTGCGCAACTGTATAACCAAATATAGCATAAACAATTTAAATAACTTCTAAATAATACGGGTTATTGTTTAGAAAACCAATCGAAACTGTTTTTGGACATATTATTCAAACTGAACATTGAAGGAGGAAACTTATCAGATAATGATATTAGGGATGAGGTGGTAACAATGATGACTGCGGTAAATATCTGTTATCTTCCATTAAATCTTGTATATGCTTCCAATGAAATATATTTCTAATAAAGTATTTTAATTTAATTACAGGGCAGTGATACAAGTTCTATCACAGTCTGTTTTTGTCTTTTGATGTTAGCTATACATCAAGATATCCAAGTAAATATATAATACGTAACGCACAACAAAAATATTCTTGAATCAGTTGTTGCAATTTTTAAATAATTAATTTTAGAGTGTGTATTAATTTTAAATGCGAAAAAATATTTAAAATCATAGAACTGGATTAATTGAGTTTTTATTTTTATGGAAATCAAAACAATGTTAGTACCTAATTATTTTGTTGACAAATTTGTTTATATTTCAGAACAAAGTATACGATGAAATTTATGAAATATTTGGCGGGAGCGATCTTGAAATATCTATTGAAGACACTGTTAGACTTGTGTACTTAGAAAAAGTGATAAAAGAAACACTTCGAATGTTCCCTGTGGGACCAGTGATTCTCAGAGAACTTCAAAACGATCTTAAAATATGTGAGTGAATTAAAAAATGTTCTATATGTGAATAAAATATTATTAAACTAAATGTGTTTAAGTTTCAAGTGATTACGTACTACCAAAAGGAACAACGTGTGTTATACCCTTAATAGCCACTCATCAAAATCCTGACTTTTACCCGAATCCTTTGATTTTTGACCCTGAAAGATTCAGCCCAGAAAATGTCGCTAAACGTCATAAATATAGCTTTATACCTTTTAGCGGCGGGCCAAGGGGTTGCATAGGTAAAGTTATAAGAATTGTAAAAAATATAGTTTCAATATAAAATTTCAATATCTATACAGTAATACTATTGTATTTCAATTTAAACCACAGGATCCAAATATGCAATGTTGTCGATGAAAGCCACTTTGTCAACATTCTTGAGAAATTTTAGCGTACACACAGATGTCAAATTAACAGACATTAAGTTAAAATTAGGTTTAATGATGAGAAGTGTTCACGGTTATCCTGTTACAATTCGACCACGAGACAGAAGACTAACATATAATAAGCGAACAGAGACTCAGCGAGGATAAGGTGCAGTTATAATTAATAATACGATGGCTCGCATGTTTTGAAAATTATTGTGTTATATATTAATTATAGTATTATGTACAGTTATATATTATTATCAAATACAACAATACAAAGCAATAGTGTATTTCAGGAGAATACTAGGCTATGTAATGATGATTTGTAAGCTTAAATTTTGTATTACACGTCTCAATTAGTTACTTTATGCTAGATTAAAAAAAAATTAACTCTATAAATAACAGTTAAAAAAATGTTAAATGCATATTATTTGGATTATTTTTTACAATTGTTTACTTTCGGTTGATATTCATATGCACCCAGTCACATTTTTTCATTGTGTAATACATGTGGTTAATTTTGGACCACTACCTAGTTATATTTTCTTCGATTTGTATGACTAGTAATTAAATGATGATTGTTTATGTTTTGATTTCGCAACACAATAGTTAAGTTTTGTCTGTATTTTATGATTCATGTCATAATATTTTCAAATTACATTTTCTGTATTTTGTCAAAATAAATAAATAAACGAATAATATGTTACGATGTCATTGTATTTTTTAAATTGTTTGTCTAAAGTTTATTTTATATTCTTTTATATTTATTGAGTACATAACTATCAGAATAAAACTTGATTATTAAAATTATTTTATCTAAGATTTTCATCTCTTACGTTCTAGAGCTAACATAAATGCAATATACTGTATAGCTAGGTATTGGAAAAATATCATTAATTTTATCAAGTTGTTTGAAGGCATAATACAACTATTGAAATTGATATAGTAAAATAATATTAGTCACTTTTAATTTATAATATTACCATGTACGACTAAGCTGATAACTTTTAATAAAAAATGAGTACATTTAAATACCTGTATATTTTATACCATATTTACATTCAAGACATTGATATATACATATTTATAAGTATATTGATATGAAATGATTCTGCTTTTGTGATCAACTTCATTTGTATATGATGTATATATGTGACCACAAAAGAGAACTTTAGAAAAAAAGTTAAAACTTTATCACTAAGATATGCAACAAAACAATACAACATGTAAACGTTTGCGTTCTCTGTTTATTATATTCATTATCTATAATTTTATATAACTGCGTTTATACGTAGTATATATTTTAATGATATCATACAATCATACTTATGCGTTAAGTATACAACTCGATCATAATATAAATTAAGTATTAGTATTATTTTAGACACGTATTTATAATTTTATTTCAGTGTGAGGAGGAAAAGGCTGATGAAAACATATAAATAATAAATATACCTTCATACACACTTGTCTTAGGTACCTATATTTATTTATATCGTCATAACATTATCAAATAAAATACATGAGTACAAAGAAATGCAATTTAAAACCTTAATTTGTTCATGTTATTCTTCCTAAACAATAAAAAAAAAATATGAAAAATGTACAACATTTTAAGACTACTTCACCAAGGTAAGTAGGATTTTAATTTTATAGGTGTAATCATTATGTAACTACAATTCATTTTAATTTAGTGTATCTAAATATATTTAAAATCAAATACCTGGCACTTGTTGTGCCTGCATCATATATCTTTTGTATATCTATCCCCACTTAAAAGTATAATTACATTGTTATATAATAGGATTACATGACTTTAGACAATACATATAAAAAGGGTATGTCAGAGAATAAAAACCATTAGTTATTTTTGTTGTATTCAGTCATTGAGTGCAACATAGGTAAATTTATGAAGTCAATGGCAGGGAAAACTATAGTGATAATAATTATTAATTAACAATAGTCTAAAAGTATAATTTTGTACTGTGAATATATCACTGTGGAGGGATAGTGTTCGTTTTTAATTTAGATCAAACGTATGTAATCAAGACTAAATATATTGATGAATATGGTATAATAATATATCTTATATGTATGAAATAGAATCGTTGCTTAATACAACCAGTCATTGTGTTTTAACTGTAAAATGATTGAAATAATTGTGTACCTGAGTGTTGTTATTCTTGCGGTGTTGTGGTGTAACTTCAAATGGAATAACAGACATTTTGAAAAATTATATGTTAAAATGCCGGGACCTCCGTCATACCCAATCGTTGGAATAGGACTTCAATTTATTGGATCACAAGAACGTAATAAAAATGATAAATTGCTACAAAAAAATTAATGTACTAAAAACATATAATTTTTGATATACTTCAGAGGTCATGAGCAAAATCTTTGAGCTTTTGAAACAATACAATAATCCAGGGCCATTTAGTTTTTGGTTAGGACAATATTTTGCAGTTGCCATCACTAAACCAGAAGACGTACAAGTAATTACATTTTTCAGCAATAATGGTAATTAAGTATTGGACAAATGTCATCGAATTAAACAGTTAATTTTCATATTATATTTTTATATCACAACGTGAAAATAAATCTTATCAAATTTTTTTTTACAGATGTCATTGTAAAAATTAAATTATGTAATATCGAGAAAAAATTTGAACTTTAAAAAAGCTCCTTTTTAGGATAGCGATGTGTACCTAAGTACCTTTATAAAAAATAGAAATTTTGTTTATATTCTTTCTGACTTTATACCATCACCAGTTTTTAATATTGATAAGTTAAAAAAATATTATTGTACTAATTTTTTAGATTGTCTTAAATAGTTCAAAGGCACTTAAAAAAGGACGAATGTATGACTTTTTCAAGACCCTTGCGGGTGATGGTTTGTTAAATGCACCAGGTTAGTTGTATACACAAGTTTAGATGAAATGCGTTTGTACAAAAATTGAATAAAACTATTCTCAGTGAATAAAAGGATATTTTTTAGAATTCAATATTACAATAATTTAAAACTACGTAAAACAATTACAGTTGATAAATGGCGGAAACATCGTCGCATGATCACGCCTGCATTTAATGCAAATCTTTTGGAACAGTTTTTCCCCGTGTTTAACGAAAAAAATAAAATTTTTATCAGAAATATTGCAAAGGAATTAAATAAAACACAACCGTTCGATCTCTGGGACTATATTGAGCCAATTGCTCTTGATACTATTTCTCGTAAGTATAATAATTGGAGATCAACTTTTAAAGTTATTAACGGAATTTGTATTTTTAGAAACTACGATGGGATACAATCTTGACACTCAATCAAACAATAAAGAGTGTGAATTCGGCGAAGCAATTGTACGGTAATACGAAACATTGATTTTTATGAGTCCCTTTAAGTTCTTTTCTTACTCAATATTTAATTTTCATCTTTCATTTGTTACCTTAAATTAATTGCTTAAATTTGTTTTAATAGAGCAACAGATTTGCTCGCGAAGCGCATTTACAAACCATGGTTATATCCGGAAATCGTGTTTTCAATGTATTTGAAGCTCACTGGACAGCAAAAAGTCTTCGAAACAGTAAAAAAATTTCCATTACAGGTATGTCTTTTTGACTTAAGAATTTCAATAAACACTTTCAATAACATTGGTCACTGTTCACATTAACCCAGTTTTTAGATTTGGAATGCTTTAGATTTACTACTATTTCATCGTATTTAATATTTGATTAATTTGAATCGTTCATACTATTATTCAGAAATAATTTTATTTTATTTTTGTAAAAATTGGCTTTTGGTCAGCTTTTTTTAATTTAGGTACACATGATACTATTCTTCATTCAAAAAATAAGAATATAAAACGAAAATACCATTTATACTGATTTGATTTTGAATGTATGTAAAAAGTTATTAAATGTTTGATATTAATTCAATGATTTCTTGAAAATATTGATCAGACTGATAAATGCAATAAAATTATTTTACTGTTTAATTGACAATACACTACGACTCAGTATACTTCAGGTATAAATACAAGCAATTATTTATCGACTTTTTGTACAATTTATTTTGTTGATTTTTGGATAATGTATACCTACGACAAATTTTATGAGCCGAAGAGCACTGTGCGCATTTCCTAGCGATTTACAGTTTTCTAATTTTTAGCCTAACATATTCCTTGTTACAACTTGTGAGTGTATTTGACATTTTTAGGTGATCAAGGAAAAGAAAGTTGAATTCGACCAGAGAAGAGAAGCTATTAATGCTAAAAAAAACGTTAAAGACAATGACGATGGTGAGTTATTCATTCTTTACCACTTTAATAGATATTTCCTGCGTAACAGTATAACCAAATGTATAAAAAATTAATATTAAAGAAATAACAACTCCTAAATAATATGAGTGTTTGTTTAGAAATTCAATCAAAACTATTTTTGGACATATTGTTCAAACTGAACATTGAAGGTGGAAACTTTTCAGATAAAGATATTAGAGATGAGGTTTTAACAATGTTGGCTGCGGTAAATATTTGTTATTTTCCATTATAACTTGTATATTGTTCTCATGAAGTAATTTTTATTTTTATTTTTCATTAAAATTTAATTACAGGGCAGTGATACCAGTGCTATAACAATCAGTTTTTGTCTCTTTATGTTAGCCATACATCAAGATAACCAAGTAAATAAATAATAATAGTTACATACAACAAAATTAGATTCTTCTATTTGTCATTGCAATTATCAAATATTAGACGTTTAGAATGTACATAAGTTACATTTGTTGAATGCGAAAAAAAATATATAATACTAAAGGACTATATTAATTTAAATTGTATTTATATGGAAATCAAAACAATGTTAGTACCTAACTATTTTGTTCACAAATTGATTCATGTTTTAGAAAAATGTATAGTGTATACGATGAAATTTACGAAATATTTGGCAAAAGTGATCAAGAAATATCCATTGAAGACACTGTTAGACTTGTGTACTTAGAAAAAGTGATAAAAGAAACACTTCGAATGTTCCCTGTGGGGCCGGTGATACTCAGAGAAACTCAAGAAGATTTAAAAATATGTGAGTGAATTTAAAAATGTTTTACTTTTGTATAAAATATTAAGTTAAATGTATTTAAGTTTCAAGTGATTACGTACTGCCAAAAGGAACAACGTGTGTTATAGCCCCAATAGGCACACATCATAATCCTGATATTTATCCAAATCCTTCGTCTTTTAATCCTGAAAACTTCAGCCCAGAAAATGTCGATAAACGTCATAAATATAGCTTTGTGGCTTTTAGTGGTGGTCCAAGGGGTTGTATAGGTAAAGTAATATTTTGGAAAATCATAATATCATAAGAATCCAAAATATTTATATGCTATTGTAATACTATTGTATTTCAATTTAAACCACTGGATCCAAATATGCAATGTTGTCGATGAAAGCCACTTTGTCAACATTCTTGAGAAATTTTAGCGTACACACAGATGTCAAATTAACAGACATTAAGTTAAAATTAGGTTTAATGATGAGAAGTGTTCACGGTTATCCTGTTACAATTCGAANATTTTAGCGTACACACAGATGTCAAATTAACAGACATTAAGTTAAAATTAGGTTTAATGATGAGAAGTGTTCACGGTTATCCTGTTACAATTCGAACACGAGACAGAAGACCAACATATTATAAGCGAAATCAGAATCAGCAAGGATAATGGGCAATTATAATTAATAATAGTTATATCAGTTACAATATTATGTATTGTCATATATAAATATTGAATACGATAATAAAAAACAACTTCAATTAAGGAGAATACTCGGCTATGTAATGATAATTTGTAAGCTTAAATGTTGTATAACACATCGAAATTAGCTACTTTATGCCAGATTAAGAAAAAAAAATTAACTTTATAAATAACAATTAAACAAATCTTTAACGCATATTATTTGGTTTGTTTTTACAATTGTTTACTTTCTGTTGTCACTTATTTGCCCTTGTAGACATTTTTAACTGTGTAATACATTTGATTAATTTTGGACAACTACCTAAATCTTATCAATTTTTAGTGACAAGCGATTGAATAATTTTTGTTTATGTTTTGATTTAGCACCACCATACTAAAGTTGTATCAATATTTTATGATTCTTGTCTTAATATATTTAGTTTAAATTTTCAGTTTTTTCTCAAAATAAATAAATGAAAGAATGATAAGTTATGATGTCATCGCAATTTTTAAATTTTTTATCTAAACTTATTTTATATTCTTTTCATTATAATTTTTTGAATACTTTATTTTATTGGTTATGGGTTAAAATTAGTACGTTGTCGTAACTATAGTTTTATCCAGTTATTCTTATAACGTTTCAAAATATATGATTTTTTAATATTTTGGTGTTGGATATCATTTATATTATATGTATACTGTGTTAATTATTGAATACAACAATCATGCGAAAATACAAGATAGACCTTTTAAACTGTGTAGTACAATTATTTGATCATGGACAATATTGTCAGTAATATATTTTTTTCAATTTTTTGTGATCGAATAATATTTGTTTATGTTTTGACTTTTGATTTCATTATACCACTATAATCCATTTTATAGTTTTATCGATATCTTGTGTTTCGTCCTAACGACAAATTTAACGACGATATGGCCGGCTGTCGTCCGTTGTCTGTTTTTTTTATGAATAGAGTTAGATTGTGAGGTGAACAACAGACATGCAAAAATGTCACTTCATTTTTCGCCGGCTCCAGAATATTTAATACGCTACTAGGATGGAGACGGATCGACAAAATCCGATGATCAGATGGGACCTTTGTGTCGAATAAGCCACGCCCATGACGCTTTTTGGCGACAAGTCGGTTTTGCTCATAAATCGCACCAACTATATAACGCCTAAAATAAAAGTAAGTTATTCACTTCAAAAACTGAGTTTATAGATAATTTATAAACTGAATTTGGATAGTCAATATTATGAGAAACCTTGTTTTAAATTTTAAACGTTGGCTATAAAAATTTAACTTGAATTGCTTTTAAAATAATTGAGATTAAGAAAAAAAATGTAAACACTTTTTACACTATACTAACCTTTGTTGCTGAAGTGAATTTATGAAAAAAAAAAAAAAATATTTTTTCAAACGCTCATAAAAAGTTTTCGTATGTCGTTCAGTATTTATTTTTCGTCATAAATAGAAAAACTTACTAGGAACCTTGTTTTTTATTTTTAAAATCGAACATATTAAAATGAACATTTTTTATGAATTTTTTACTACAAAATAATTTTTTGGTTGTGTAAAAGCAGATCTAAATTAGATAAAGAATGGCATGATTGGATTCTGTCGTCGACTATATTGCATGGAGCAAAACATTGTTCTATGTATTTATGTTATATGTATTAATTAACAATAGAATATTTATTATTTAATAATTACCTATGACAATTTATTTAGTACACTTTTAAGTAAAGCACGGAATAAAACTTGATTGGAACTAAAATTATTTTATCTAAGATTTTTATCTTGTATACTTTCTAGACTTAACATAAATACAATATACTGTACAGCTTGGTATTGAAAAATAAAAAGTTTTATCAAAATGTATGAAAGCTTTAAACAACTAATTATTCTGTTTATTATCAATAATAAGAATGTAAATTACTCAATATACAATACTAAGTAGGTATTATCGATGTTTTAAAAGAATGCATGAGCACACGTTCATACGTTCACTTTCATATTTAGTGAAAGATACGCGAACGTCATCGCTTATCATTTAAAACAGATCCATCTATCTTCTATCTGTGATATAAAACAGTTAATTTATAATTTCTTAGTGGAATCAATCGGAAGATTAATGAAACATTTTACAGTGAGATTTTTGAAAAGTTCATCATAGTCATTTTAAGTAATCACGCTTAAAATGTCTAACCAACTTAAGTCACCCGTGGGCAGCCGTGTCATACAGTATGTCAGTGGCGTGTTGCATATAGGGTCCAAGTGTTGCTTAGGCCGGTGGAGTACGATTGCACGCGTTTTACCTTTTTGGGCATACGATTGCGCGCGGTGCCGGAATAACAAATAATCATGCTTTTGCCTATTCAAAAGCGTACGATTGCGCGTGAAATTGGATGCGACGTTGCCAAATTATTATTTAAATATAAAATAATTATTATTATAAAAAAAAAACAAATTTTTGACTAGCCCAGTGATATCTTCTAAATTCAATTTTTTAGGTCAAAAAATT